TGAGTTGGGAGAGGGAGGGAGGGGGATGAGGAAGGGAGGGATGGGGAGAGGGGGGAAGTGACCCCCGGAGCTCTGGAGGAGTGGGACTGTGAGCAGTCGCTGAGCTCTAAGGGGGTTATTAAAGTGGGGCTGGGAGCAGCCCATGGAGCTCTGGAGAGGTTAAAGAGAGGCTGGGAGTGAACCCCAGAGCTCTGGAGAGGTTAAAGCTGGGCTGGGGGTGTTAAAGGGCCCTCGGAAGAGTCTGAGAGGTGTTGGCTGCGTTCAGGAGGTCACAGAATTCCGACACTAACCAGGTTGGAAATGACGTCTGAGATCACCAAGTGCAACCAGTGACCTAACCCAGCAGAGATCAAAGGGGTGAGGGAGGAACTGCAGGGACCATGGACAGGGAAGGAATTGGACTGGGAGTGCCTGAAGGTGTGAAGCTGCAGAGGATCATGGAATGGTTTGGGTTGGGAGGACCTTAGAGCTCATCCCATCCCACCTCCTGCCATGGACAGGGACACCTTCCACCAGCCCAGGTGGCTCCAAGCCCTGTCCAACTTGGCCTGGTGGTCACTGCAGGTGTGACAACAGGAAGGATCCAGCTGTGGAGCAAGAAGGGATGTGTTTTTCCAAGGATAGTGGTGCTAGGGGAGGGAGAAGCTGATAGCTGGCAGTGTCGGATGGCTGTGAGCAGCCCAGGGATGGGGAGGGAGGGAGGAGGGAGCAGCTCCTGGGCCGTGGGCGTGGAGCACATCCTGGAGCTGTGTGACAGTGACAGCACAGCCTGTCTGCAGCAGGGGAGCAGTTATAAATACTGCCTGGAGTCTGCCTTGACTCACTGGAGCCATGGAATCAGGCACCACCGGCTCCATCCTGGATTCTGCCTGGCTGAGATCCTGCTTGGCACATCTGCTTTGTGTGCTGCAAAAACCCCTTTGGTGTTGGCATTGGATTCCTGTGGGCACTGAGGACGGGGAGTCTGGGATGGTGCTGTGGATCAACTCTTGTCATGGAATCATGGAATGGTTCGGGATGGAAGGGCATAACTGTCATCCCATCCCACCCCTGCTCTGGGCAGAGACACCTTCCCCTAGCCCAGGTTGCTCCAAGCCTCATCCAGCTTGGTTTGAGGCTTCCTTTTATTCCTTCTAATAGGGAATATGAGCACCACCCTCATCGCATTATCCTCCAAACTCTCCTTTTCCTCGGTGCCTGCAAAGATCTGGATAAAAATGAACTCCTTGGTGTGTTATTAGGTTGTTGTGTGTTATTGGTCTCAGGCAGCACAGGAGGTCGTGAGAGGGTGGAAAACACCTCAGAGACAGGGAAAGGTTTGTTTTCCACAGGGTGTTTCCTGCCAAAACCTTATTTCCATGTGGGAAATGTTGTTTGGGAATGTGATGACTTCAAACACTGTCAGGGTGCAGAGGCTGAAGGAAGTGCTGTGGGTGCCAAGTGCTGATGGGAACAGGGTGGGTAACTGAGAGTGGAAGTGTCACTGTGACTCACCCAGAGCTCTTCCTGGGGGTCACTCCAAGCCCCTCAGGATTGTTTTAGAGGTGAAAAGCTGAGAATTGTTAACTGAAATCATTCAGAAATGGATTGAATGTGATTCCATGTCCCTGAAGCTGCTGTGGAACTGGTGAGGAACAAGATGTTCTCTCCCCACTGCAGCAGCAGCTCAAGGGGAACCTGAGAGTCACAGCACCTCAGAACTTTGGGTACTCGTGGATATATCAGCTTGTTTTGGTGGGAATGCCTTCAGGGAACAAAGCAGGAGGTGTATCACCAGCTGATCCTTTGCTTTCCCCCTGTTCCCTCAGGAAGAGGAGGAGGAATGGCAGTGACGATGATGGACATGTTCCCCAGACCAAGCGCAGCACCAGGAGCTCTGTCCTTCAGGATTCCTGGGACACTGAGGTGAGAGCCTGCCCAGGCACAGCCACTAATATAATCCTGAATTTAATCCTTGGAACATCCTGGGAAGTTTTATCCCTGGAGAGCTGTTAGGGGGAAAAAAACTGATTTTCAGCTTTGTGGCTGAGGTTTGACTTGGCGACATCAGAGATTGACATCTAAGAGGTGCTGTGAAATCAGCATGTTCCCAGTGGATCCTGGATTATCCCTGGCAATGCATTTCCAGCCCTGCAGAGCAACATCCAAGTGGAGGCGAGAAAGCAACTTGGTGCCACATCTGGCTTTGCTGTGTGGGATGAGTTTGGCCGGAGCTGAGGAGGTGATGAGGTTTCAAGGTGTGTGTGTGGTCCCTTCACCTCACCCTCTGCTCTTCAGCTTGGAGTTACTGATATCAAAGAAATTATTTATGGTTAAAAGTCAGAAAAGAAGGTAAAATTCCAACTAAGAGTTTTCTGATGTTCAAACCTGCTCTGATGCTGCTGCTCAGTTCAAGCACAACTTGTTTGTTCACAGCTAAACCACCTGAAACTCAAACCATTTGGCTCCTACTCCTATTGCCCATGATTTCTTACTGGACATGGGACAAACTAAACTGTCTCTTCTTTCCTTCCCCCTCACCTGTGTCAGGTGTTCTCCTGGTGCAATTCCCTAGCTAGGAGATGTCTTTCCTTACTAAACTGATTTCCCAGTTTACTTTTCCTGACCTGTTCCCTGTCTTATTCCCCTTCAAATTCCCTGTGAGCATCTCTGCCTGTTGCAGGATGCTCATGGAATGGAGGGGGCAGAGCAGAGGCTTCTTCCTGTGTCCCTGGAAGTGAATGACATGGATTTCCTTTATGGCTTTTGGAATATCCTTGTGTTTGCAGAGCCTTCTCACCCCTGTCCTGAGGAATTCCGGTAGAAATTGTTGCTGGATTCTCTGGATTGTTGATCTGTTAATGGTCTTGGCAGCAAATTGAGCTCTTTACAGTCTGGAAATGGTTTGGAATGGATATTTATACATTCCTGGTGTGAGGGAGATCCTAAACCTGCACAAACAAGGACTCGAAAATGCTTTAACACCTTGAGATGTTCCTCCCAAAGGAATTCCCTGGGATGAAAACCATTCCTGGCTCCTCTATTGCTCTTTTTCCAGGAGTGGCACTTGCTGGGCTGAAGCATGTTGGGCTCTACCAGGGAGAACTGTGACCAGTTTGTTGCCATCTGACACCAAATCCCTTGTCCCACAGGTCAAACCTCCCCGCGTGGGTAGAGTAGTTAATGGCTAAAGGAGCTTTGTGGCAGGAGGAGGAAGAATTTAGTGTGGAACAAGGGATTGGAGTTGGGAGTAAGGAAGTTGAGGCTCTGGTGAGTGGCAGCAGCATCTTTGCTTGTTGTGCAAACACCTGGAGTTGGGCAGAGGCACTAAAAGCAGAGCTGGGGATGGTTCTGTGCCACACTGGGGGTGACCTTAACCTTGTCCTGCTCTGGGGCTGTGAGGGAACAGCTTGGGCATGGCTAAGGCAGAGTGAGGTCACTGCTCAGGCTAACAGACTCTGCTGCTTGCATGTTCTTGCCTTGGAGAAGTGTTTAACACCTCAAGCCCTGGTGTGAGGCAGGAGCAGCTCAGGAGCTCTCCCTGACACCAAAGCCCAGGAAAACAAACCCCCAAACAAACCCCAGTGTCCCTTTCTGCAGGGAACAGAATTCCCAGTGTTGTCTCCTGATGAATAGAGCTTTCTCCTCTTTTTTTTATTTTTTTTTTCTGGCTTGTTTTCCTGTGGGTTCACTGCACTGAGCATGCCCAGAAGTCCGGGAGAGGAGATTAAATCAGAATTGCCCCAATGTTTCCTTAAGGCCTTTCCTGTGCCCCAGGGGGAAATCCTTGTGCTCATTGTGCACAAGTGTTTCCGAGTGCTTGGAAAGCCTCAGCCTCTTGGAATACTCCTGTTCAGCTTCCTGAGCTGTTTGCAGCAGCTCCTGCTGATCAAAAGTCCTCACTGCCTTTGGGATAGTGAACTTGGGAAGTGTTTGTGGGAGCAGTTTGTGCCTTGAGAAAGCACAGGAGAGATCTTTCCATGGCAGGGCATACACACACTGCTCTGGGTGAAACATTCCCTAAAGCACGGATTCCTGGGGCCTTTTTTGGGTAGAAATTGCCTGTTTCCTCTAGCAGAGTGATGTCTCTGAGAGCATAGCCTCAGGATGAGCTGCATTTTCAAACAGAACTTGGCTTTGGGCAGGATCTCTTCCCATTTTTTTGTCTTCTATCAGTGTTGGCTCTGAAGAGTGAGCCGTTCCCTACAGTGAAAGGAGGTTTTAGTGGCAGTTCTGTGATGTTTTCCATCATTTGAATCCCACTGCTCACCTGAGCTAGATGCGATGCCAAATGATATCCTTGTTTTTTCCCACTGCATTGTCCTTTCCCTGAGGGCAGGCAGCACCTCTGACTCTAACTTTTACAGGAGGGAAAGATTCTCCTCAGTCTTTATCAGCATCTTGGCAGGTTCCTGTGAGAATGTGCCATTCCTGATGCTCCCTCTGAACAAGCCACCCTGAGGTGACACTAAACCCTTGGGTGACACTAAGCCTCTGCTCTGCAGCTCAGCCCAGGATCAGGCTCAGGACAAACCCTCTGAACTGGAGCCACAGCCCACGTTAAACATTAGCTAACCAGAGCTTTGCCATGGGATTGCACTTCCTGCTCAGCCTGTCCTCCCTTTGCCAGGAGGTCACCTGGGTTGTTTGCCCTGTTTTTGGTTAGAAGGTCATGGCTACAGCAGGTCAAGAGAGGTTGGAGTGGATCCTCCAAGGGGATTCTGTGAGCAGGGAGTGCTGAGGAACCACCAGTGAAAAACCCTTTGCTCTGATTCTCCCTGGGAAGGAAGTGAGTCTGCAGTGCTCTGGCTAACTTTTCCTTCCTAAATAGCTTCTGTAAACCCATATTTGTTGTGGTTCCTCTTTGTCCTGGTAGGGTCAGGATTCCCTGAGGGTTAATGTTGGAGATCACTGACACACAGCAGCAGTTGTGCTCTCACAGCCAAGCTCTTCTCTTTTTGAGGGGAAAAATGTTGTCTTTCCTCGTGGAGGGAAGGGCTGGTCTGAAATTCTGACTGAAAACCAAGTCATGTCTCTGTTAAACCCACCCTGGAAGCTCTACAGAGCAGCAGGAGCTGTTTCTCCAGGTGCTGTCAGGAGATGCTATCACAGATCTACACACTGAACAAGCAATGACTTAAAACCTTTGCAGGTAATGATTTCAGGCTCAGTGTGATGTTCAGGAGGACTAATAAGCCTTGAGGATACCTTTTTTGCTAGTTAAAGTGTCACTGGGCTTTGCTGTGCCTCACTGTGTGGATCCCTGTCCTTGCTGACATGATGACTCCAAGGATCCTTTTTTGTATCTAATTGTAGTCCAAATGCCTAACAGAATGTGCACCACAGCCTGGTGGGGACATGGTAGGTCTTCCAAGTGACAAAGGGGCTTTACCTGCTTGGGAGAGAACTGGAAATAAAGAGGCTCTGACCAACCACAGCTGGCAACACCCTGAGGTGCCACAAGCACATCCCAGGGCGCGCAGAACCCCTGAGATATGCCCAGAATAATCACTACTAACAGCTGCAGAGTGTCTGTGGGGGGGTGGCAGCTGAGCAGCAGGTGAGCCCAGGTTCTCATGTTGGTTTCTCCCTTGATTTGCAGAAGGTGGCTGCAGCCAGGAGCAGTAAGGAGCGCAGAGCAAGGGGCACCAGAGTGGCCTGCGTGGTGGGTTCCTCTCCAGGGCTGCTGTGGCTCAGCCTGACAGCTCTGTTTGTGGCTCTCTGTGCTGCTGTGCTAGCAGCACCATCCTGACTCCTTCCTGTGCTCCTGGGTTTCTTCCTCCCTAGATTTAGCAGCTTTGGGAAGAGGAGCTGCTTGCTCTGTGCTTCCTCACCTGTGTCTTTGCTGAGGCTTTTGGTGCTTAGCAGAACCAAATTGGGTAGGCAGTTGTCACAACCCATCGTGGATGGGGTGGAATTGTCACAATCCATCATGGATCAGTGCCACCTCAAGTATCCACAGTGCCTTTCAGGCCTTTGGTACACATCAGGTGGTTTGCACCATTCCTCAGGTTTCCTCTGAGCGAGTAAATCCTTCTGGGTGTGTAAATCACTGAGGACTTGGTGACATTTAGCCTCCTCTGCTGTGGCCACCAAGCTGTGATTCTGTGGCCTAATACTTAACAAATCATGGGTGTTTAGCTGCTCTCACCTGCTGTGGCTGCTCCTGTGGATCTCCTGATGGGATGGCAGAGTAACCAGTGAGTAACTACTCACTGGTTGATTCAGCTAAGCACAGACTTGTCCTGAGCAGCACATCCCACAGGAATAGCACATTCCAGCTGCAGCTAACAGAACCTTTTCTTAGCAGCCCTTAAACGGTGTGAGCCAAAGTTTTATTGCTTTGAGAGCTTGGGAATGATGGGCTGAGGCTCTCTCAGCCATTCCTGTGGAATGTGCTTATCCCAGGTGCTGGCACATGAGCCTTGGCCTCTCTGGGACCTAAATCCTGAGTTCTCTTTGCTGTTTGTGGAAGCCTTCGGTGCCTGTTGCTCTTTCACTGTCATGCCAAGTGAATTGTTATGGGGTTGTTATGGAATATACCAGTTCATGCTGCCATCCCAGAATAAACTGGGAGTATTTGTATGGATGGGAAGGTGTTCAAAGACTTAAACTGGGTGTTGTGTGCCTTTAACAGCCTCTTGCTTTGGCTGCTTCATACCTCACTTGAGGGTTGACCTGTAGGCAAATGCTTTGCATGGAGCTTCCCTAAAATCCCTGCTGGAACAGGAGTGCCCAATTCCCCCCGTGCTGGTTTTGGTCATTCCTGACCAGGAATGCTCTTTATTTCCCAATTCTCAATGATCCCAGCAAACCTCACGGGTGCTGCTGTGGGTTTGGGGGCACAGCTGAGGGGTTTAACCTGGAGGGATTGAACTCCAACCCCCCAGAGGGCAGTGAGCCCTGGGTAAGGGATTGTCCCTTCAGCTTGGTGACACTTGTGCTGGCAATAACAACCTCTGGAGGCCAAGGTGGAGTCAGTCCATCAGGCTGGAAGTCTGGGAGGGATTATCCTAAAGGCTGGAAAGGCAGGGAGGGGGGAGAACTGTCTGACTTTGCTGTTGGCCTTGTCTCTGTCTCAGTCATCCAGCAGTGACAGTGGGAGCAGCAGCAGCAGCTGTAGCAGCAGCAGCATCAACAGCCCTGACAGAGCCTGTGGGGCAGAAAGCAGCCTGACCCCCAGGATTGCAGGAGGCAGCCCTGTCTCCTCCCAGCCCTTCCACGAGCAGTCTGCACTAAGCCAAGGTCCTTACTTCCACATCAACCAGATCCTGAAGGAAGCTCATTTCCACAGCCTACAGAGCCGGGGGCGCCTCCCCACATGATGCCCCAGCAGCTCCCTCCCTGCCTTCTGTGAAGGGACAGCACTGTGGACATTGGATATTGCATCTTCAAAGTTTGGTAACATGGAATTGCACAAAAAAAAAAAATTGCCTGTTGCCTTTTCAGTCTCTCTTTGAAATAACAGGTCAACAGGGAATTGTTTACTTGTGGTTTTGCTGCACTATTGCAATGCAAAAAAAAGAAAAAAACACAAAAAAAAAAAAAAGAGAAGGGGCTTGGAAGCAATTTTTATAGCATTCTTTTTGGGGTGGTTCTGAGAGGAGAGTGAGGAGTCCACATGTGTGTTATAGGATTGCAACTGTCCAATTCCAATCAACTGCCTAATCTGTCTGTTAGCAAGTTGTTGCTTTCTGTAAAGTTCTCTCCAGTTTCCTCTTCAGTTTTATAAGTCTTTTTTTTTAATTTCAATAAAACTAGTTACAAAATGAGTTGGAAACAGAAGTTTTTTGGAGCATTTTAAGAGTTTAGTCATGAGAATAGGAGTGAGTGCAGTTCCTTAGGCCTGGCCAGCTGTGAGCTCCCACCTTGCTCAGTGGGATGTGTTTTATGCCACATGAGCTTCATTGCTCCAGGACTGGAAAAAAAAAAGGTGGAATCAGCCCTAGGAGAGGCTTGGCAGGTGCTGTTGGGGCCACTCAGAGCAGGGTGGTGGTGCCTAAAGGACAGAGGAGTCTGACTTTGCCCCAGCACCCACTTCTAGCTGTGAAAGGTTTTGTTTTCTCTTAGTGTATAGGTTGGTTTGGGTTTTTTCCCTTTCATTTGACTTTAAGGTTAACAGTGTCAGGAATAGGAAGAGAAAGAGCAGCTACACCTCTGTTCCAGCAGCCAGGGCACAAGGACAATCCTGGGGCAAGTGACACACTGGGATGTTCTCCTGACACTCCTGGAGGTGTCACTGGTCCTGCCCATGGGAGAGATCTCAGAGAAGACAGACACACAGACCAAGGCTGATTTATTGCTGCCTCATTTGGCCATGCCTGACAGCCATCCCAGCTTGAAGAGGGAAGGTGCAGCTGTGTCCTCCTCCTCGGTGACAAACTGCCTGAACAGAGCCCCAGGCCGTGACCCCTCGTCCTCTCTGGGCACCACAGCAGGTGGAACCTGGGAAAGACAGAAAGACTGTAACTATTCCAGCACACCTGGGACTTCCTCCACACCCTCATCTACAGGAGCTGCAAGGGGCAAACCACAGCAACCAGCTCTTCCCACTGCTGGGGGTTAGTGCCAGACAGACAGTGACAGCAGCACAGCACTTTGCTGTTAGCCACAGGGAACTCTGCAGATGGCACTCCATGCTCAACAATTCCCAAACAACATCCTGAGCTGCTGGGAAGAGCAAGGGATAACAGTGTGGCAGCACAGCTGTTGTCCTTGCAGAGAGCTGTTCCTGGAGATCTGTAGGCTTCAACCTCTCCAGAAGTGGTTGAGCAGTGGAGAAGGAGCATCTGGGAAGGGTGGCACAGGACACAGGTGAGGGGAGTGAGAGGAGCAAACCAGCCATCACTGCACACTTCTATGCTCTACTCCAGCTGAGGGGAGAGGTAAGGAATACCTTTAGTGGGAAGCTTTGGGCTTTTAAAGCACCTTGAGGCTGTGTCTGGTCCTTAACAGCTCTGAGTAATGGAGAAAGCAGAATTGCAGAGTGAAATCAGCATCTCAAATGACACTGATAAAACCAGACCTTCCCTGTTCTGTCCCAGTTGCCAAGACATCACCACAGAAGGATTATTGAGTTAATAACTACAGGAAACAGAAGACTAATCATTCCTTCCCACAGCAGTGAGGTATTCCTTGTCTCTCTCAGCACACAGAGCTGCATCTAAGCAGATGTTTTAAACTGAGGGAAACATAGCAGCATGATGGTTGTGTGCTGAAGCCCAGTGGCAGCACAGCCAGGGCAGCAGGACACTCCTCACACAGGCTGAGGTCCCCAGGCCAGGCCTCCTCGGGGTTAGGGGTCAGCATCCCACTGCAAAGGAGTTCAACAGTTAGCCACTGTCCTTCAGCCCTTCTTGCAGCCCTTTCCATTGTCTTTATTGACCTCCAGCTGTGTCACTCCTCACTGCCTCTGCAGGGGGGCTGTTGCCTGTTTTACCCCAGAGCAGTGAGCATAACACAGGGGCAAAGGGGTTTTATGAGGGCCAAGGAGAAACCCAACCCATCCCTGCTGTGTCACCACAATGATTCTCTCTCATTTGACCCAAAATAAACATCAGGTGAAATATGAACTGTTTGGCTGCTTTCTTCTGTCCCCATGAGCTCCAGTGTTGGGGGGAGAATGGATAGTGGGGGAATATTCCCACTTGTACAGCTCAGCTGGACCAACCTGTGCTCGCTCTGTGCTCCTGGCAGCAGCTCTGCCCCTTCGGGAGCTCGACATGCTCAGAGGCAGGAGGCCAAACCTTCAGAGAAGGGACAAAGAAATGTGGGAAAGAGCAATTCCAGAGGCAGGAGAATGCCCAGAGGAGCCAAGTGCCTTACCTGATCTGGCTGGATGCTAAGGGCAGGATGTTGTGGAGCTCCTGAGAGCTCAGAGCACCACTCCGGGTCGTGTACTGCTGCTCTGTGCCTGTCAGCAAACCAAAGAGCACCTGGAAAGGAGGAGGTTTGTACTTGAGGAAGAGAACCTGGAAGGGATGATATCTGTTTGTGTTTGGGGAAGAGAACCTGGAGAGCACCAGGAACTGTTCGTATTTGAGGAAGAGAATCTAGAAGGCACAAGGAACTGTTTGCATTTAGAAAAGAGAACCTGGAAAGCACAAGAACTGTTTCTATTTGGGGAAGAGAACCTGGAAGGAATGAGGAGCTGTTTGTATTTGGGCAAGAAAACCTAGAAGGAACAAAGGAGCTGTTTGTACTTGGGAAAGAGAATCTGGAAGGGATGAGGAGCTGTTTGTATGAGCTGACCACGCAGCTGCTGAGTACTGGCACCTCACTGGCACTGAGTTTGAGCCTGCAGTGTCACCCTTCCCCCTCTAACTGTTTAATTATTACCACAGTTGAGTTCTAGGCCTGTCTCAGCACTACTTAACCCAATTAGCACTGCACAGGCTCCAGGGAATCCTGTTAGATAAAAGTTCAGCCAACTCCAGACCAGCTCAGTGAGCTGCTCTTATCTTCAGCTGGCAGTAAAGACTTCCATTCCAAGGGAAGTGCCAGAGCTTATCTTTAGGCACTAAGCAGTTCAAACCCCCAGCAGCCCTGCAAAAGGCAGTCCCAGCCCTGCCTGCTGCTCTGTGCCCTGCCCTTACCGAGGTTCTCTGCACCAGGCGATTCAGGTTGGTGTTCAGGTGTGGAGTGAAAACGTCCAAGTCAAAGGGATCGATGTGTCCCTCCAGGAAGTCAATCACCTGCTCAATCCTGCAGGCAGAGCAGAGTCCTGTCAGGGGTGACATCCTGGTGACTCTGAAGTAGCCAAGGTTTTCCTCTCTGAGGTGACTGAGCAGAACAGCAGTACCTAAAGGGTTTCCAGATCTTCACAGCAGCTGCTGTGGCACAGGAGTTTTCTCCCTGTGGTGCTTCTAGGAGAGATACCTCAGTTCTAGGAGCTACACAAGGCTAACTCTTGGGTGGAAGCTTAACTCTCCTCTCTAGGGCATCCTTTAGGGGTATCACTGTTGTTCTGTGGACCACCTCACTGCCTCAGCCCTTGGCCACAGCATCCCACCCCTCTAGTCTGAGGATGAGCTCAGTGTTGGTGCAGATGTCAGAGCCTGGAGCCTTGCACTGCCCAACTCCTGTGACTGCTTTTAGAGCCCCCTAAAGCACTGCTGGAGTAGGTGAAGCCCAGTGCTGCCTCACCTGGAGTCATGCTTGCTCCTGCTGGGCTTTCCCTCCTCACTCTTTGCTGTCAGGATGATGCTGAGGTACCTCAGGTCGTAAAGCAGCTGCAGAGCTCTGCTCTGGGTCAGGGGGAAGGTGTCCACCTTCTGCAAACAGGACAGGGGGAATGGGATTCTTCCCTCACAAACAGAGGCTGTCCAAGGGCTGCTTCAGGGGGAATGTTTGAGAACAGCAGCACCAAGGCACAACCAGCCTAATGGAGCCATTGTGAGTGTGCAGTGTGGGGTGTGACCCCTTTGGCCTCAACTGGGGGAGGCAGGTAAGGGTGTCCTCCCCTCTCCCAGGGACATCATGTGCATCCCTGCATTCCCAGCCACCCTCCATTCCACCACCTGCAGTGAGGGTTGATCCCACCCATGTACCTTCTCCTGCTTCTGCTCCATGAGCTTCTCATAGGCAGTGAGTACCTCTGCCATGCAGGTCCTCAGCAGCTCCTGCAGGGTGACCTTGGGCAGAGTGTGACCCCCAACCCGGTTCACCTCCTGGCACAGGCTGAACAGGAGGCACTGGACGTGCCAGGAAGGCTGTGGGAGAGAACAGTGTCTATTTGCATGTGGTCTGTAAGTTCAGGTCACTCTATCAGTAACCACATCCCTTCAGCTGGGTGATGTGAGCTTCCTCCTTCCTCAGCAGCCACAGCTTTGCCCCCACAGCATGGCTGGGCCACCTCATGGGGTTGGATTTCCTGACACACCAGATTTGGAGTTACAGCACTGCTCAGAGTCCCACAGAGGCTTTACCAGAGGTGTTCTCCTGAGGGTGGTGAGAGCAGAGTTGCTTGTTACAGCTCTCCTGTCACTATTGCCCCTATTCTGCTCACCCACTCCCCAGGGTTGGTACTCCTCACTCCTCTCCTGGGCCTCACAGCTATCCTGAGCTCTCAGCCAGCTGCTTTTTCCACTGGAATCAATGAAAGTTGCTGGATGAGGGTCCCTGCAGATGATTATTGTCCAGCCCCTGCCCTGCTGTGCAAACAGAACTCCCTTCTGTCCTGGCCCTCCTCCCCCTTCATGTCACTGCCACCTGCTCTGTCCCTAGTGTCTCTCCTGCAGCAGCACCACCTCCATGGAAAGCCACACTCCTTGGCTCCCTCAGGATGTCACAGTCCCACTGCTGCAGCCCTGCCCTTCAGTGCATCCAATTTCCATGACCTCTCTCTCCTGGGACCTCTGTGTTTAAACCAGGCCTAAGTCCTTCCCTGGCTCAGTTTTACAGGATTTGGGCCAAACTTATTCATTGGAATAAACAGCCAACAAGGATCTATTTCCTTCCTCTGACCTCTGTCCTCACGAGGTGAGTATCTCCAAGAGCACCAGAGTGTTTGTCATCTGCTTGTGACAGCAAACAAACTGCACAGCAGAGCAGCAGGTGGTTCTGTCCCCCAGTGCTCTCCTCCCCCAGTCTGTTCTCCATACCTGCACGGGCAGGCGGATCTTGGATGTCACACTGCTTCCAGACTCAGTCTCCTCCTGGATTTCAATTTCATCCCAGTTGGTGGCTGTGGCCAGGACAGAACCAGCTGTGTCCAGCAGCAATGTGTGGGTGAAGCACTGAACCAGAGCCTGGAGCATGAAGACAAAAGCCTCAGTTACAGGACAGTTCTGACAGGACCAAGGACAGACAGCCCAACCTCCCAGAGTGAATCTTAGGGACACTATCCCACTGGAGCCACCTCCAAGGTGCCTCTCCCTGACTGGGCAGCAGCAGGGGGAGTTCTCAGCAGCCAGCACTGCCCCAAGGGAGGGAACCCTATGCACGAAGCAGTTCTGAGGAGGGAAACAGCTCCTTACTTTGGTGACAGCTGAGCTCCAGATCTGGTAAGCCAACAGGCTCTGCTGCAAGAGCTCTGCCTTCAGCTCCTGCCACTTGGCCTGCTCAGGGGTCACCTCCTGGGCTTTCCCCTTGCCCAGCTTCTTGGTGGAACGTGTGTCCCTCAGCACCACCTCTGCCTGGCCCAGCACACACTGCTGCAGGTGAGGGCACAGCTCACTCAGTGACTGGCACAGCCTTGCCATGAAGAGCACAGCGTTGAGCTTGGCATCGCTGGGGGGGTCCAGCTGCCCCCCCAGCAGGCTCTGGGCACTCTGGAGCTCCTCCTGCACACAGCCCAGGATGTGCTGGACACAGGAGACACAGTGGGCACGGAGCAGTGCCCGCACGGTGCCGGCGTCGGCATAGCGGTCAAAGGCCGAGTGTGGCTGCTCCTTGGAGACTGAGTCTGTGGGGAGGTAGGACAGGAGATCATCCAGCATGGCCTTCAGCTTGCTGTCCAGGGCTGAGCAGAAACTCTGCACGCAGGGGGTGAGTGCCTGTGCCTTCATGGCCAGCCCAGCCCTGGTGAAGGGCCCACGCTGGGCCACGCTGACCCAGGCAGCATCCGCGGGCAGGTCCCCAGGGCTCTCCGACCACAGGAACAGAGCCACGTTGTGCTCCAGCTGGATCTGCTTGCTCAGGGCTGAGGAACCAGCTTTGACTTCTAGTTCCTGCAAGGCTAAAGTGAGCAGCTGCTTGGAGCTGCTTGAGATGGACTCGAAGCCTTCTTTGGTCAGAGTCTGCAACAGAACCAGGAGAGGAAGCACCTTAAATATGCCACTCAAAACATACCCTCAAGTGCTGCTGACAGGGACGAGGGGGGCACAGAGCAAGCACAGCACCCACCTGCAGCCTGTCCAGGAAGAGCTGCTGCAGCAGGTCCTCCCAGAAGGACACAGGCCTGCCCAGGAGGCGCTGGCACACAGCCTCCCAGTTGTGGCTGCTGGACTCACTGGTGAGCAGCTCCCACACAGCATCCCGGATCCCTGCCAGCCCCTTCATGCTCTTCACGTACACCAGCAGGTTGCTGACCCCAGCCCTGATGTCTTCGCTGCACCTGAAGGCAATGGTTTCACCTCAGCCTCTGGGAGGCACTGGGACAGCACAGAGAAGCTGTGGCTGCTCCATCTCTGGAGGTGTTCCAGGCCAGGTTGGACAGGGCTTGGAGCAACCTGGGCTAATGGAAGGTGTCTCTGCCCAGGGCAGGGGGTGGGATGGGATGAACTTTAAGGTCCTTCCTACCCAAATCATACCACAGTCACCTCAGTGTCTTCTCAGACACAACCCAGGGAAGGCAGAAAATCCTCAAGGTGGGGAGATCCTTAACCTAAGAGGTTTTGCCAGAGGAACCACCTGTGGGGCTGAGGGTACCTCTGCACCTCAGCTACACCTGGATCCTACACTGGCATCCCACAGGAAAGCCACTGGGCTGTGGCAGGTGTCAAAGCTTGGAGCACAG